TGTATTCATCTTTAAGGTATTATATTCCACAGGGATACGGATCATACAAAGACCTTTACAACAAGCATACTTAAGGCAAAAACAGATAACACCATCAAACAAATCACCAATTTTATTAATTTTCACCAAAAGGGACTTCTATTTCCGTCTGGAGGTAGTATTGATTAGACAAACCAGCAGACTTTTGGAAGTTTAGAGCGAATTCACAATATACTGCGTAGTAATTCATCATCATTCACAGTGTCCATAAACAGCTTAAAACAAGCGGTCCAATGTAAGGTGCACCATTTTAAGCTTAACGTTATAATAAAAAATACCATTTGCATATTTTTGGGCGGTGGGTTAAAAACTGCCTTTCGAGGAATGGATTGGCTATTGTGCTTTAGAGTGAAATTTCGTGTTGTGGCGTGGTTTCTCGTTGGAATTTAAATAGATTTGATTGGCTACTTCAGATTAGCTCAAAATTATTAGCCAATCAAAAAATTCAACCAATCAGATCGATTGTGGATCGGTTTGGTCGGCGCGATTCGATTGCACCCCCTCCCCAAATTTGTATCAATCGACAATAATATCTACCCCTTCAATTATTGCACTTTTACATATTTGTATACTATTGTTTGTACTATTAGCTTAAATGGTACTGGGGTCTCAAGTCCAAATTGCATTGAACAGCAAGCACAATATTGTTGTGTTTATTGTTATTCTAAACTGGAGCGACATGGAGAATAATGAATCGAATAAATGTACCAAGCAAGAATCATCGGTAGAAGGTTTTAGCCAATCAGATTGCCGGAAACCATCATCAACTTTGAATTAGTGTCAGAAGGTTTTAGCCAATCAGATTTCCGGAAACCATCATCAACTTTGAATTAGTGACTCCAATTAGTGTGATATACACCTTTTGAACAAAACTGCATGTTACTTGTACGGACACTCGTCGGAGAGATGCACTGAGGTGGGGAGACCACAGTGGGCACATTCGATTTCCGACGGTGGGATCATCGTAGCTGGTGACGGCGGCGGCACATCTTGCAGCTTGAACGAAATCGGCGCCGCGGCCAGTGACGCCCGGCGATCTCGCACCGCGGTCACAAGGTCAGCCAGGTTTGTCGTCGACGAGGGAAGAAGGGTGGTGGTGTTAGCTACTGCTTCTTTGGCTTGTCTAACCTTCTGGACCTTCACCTTAGGCGGCTTATACGCGGCAAACCGGATGAGTTTCTCCTTGCGCGCGAGCTTCCCCAGCAGTTGAATCACTTGTTGCAGGGTCATGAGACACGCATTGGTGTCGTTGATGCCGATGATGTACATGCCAGGTTTAACGACTCCCGACGCTTCGATGGCGCCGGGACCGCCCGTCACGATCGGGGTGAACCCCTGGACGACCGCGCACGACTCTATGCCTGAATCTAGCAGCACCCCTAACGGGCCTGGAGGAACTACGACCTCTGCCGTAGCTTCGACTTCGATCTCATCGTCATCTACATCTTCATCGGTGTCGTCGTCTTCTTCGTCGAGATCGAAGAACGCATGCCCTTCCATCACCGTCTCGAGCTCCGCTTCAAGCTTGGTCTCGGCGTCCGAAGGGAACGCGGCGGCGGCCACTGGAGGAGTCCGAGGGGCGGCCGCTTGGAAGGTGGGCTCGGACCCGGAAAGGGACCGCTGGTCGTTGGACACGTGGATGTCGTCGGCATCCATCCCAACATCCATCGGAGTAAACACATTCGACCGGTGCCTTTCATAGTCTAATTCGATGCCTAAGGAAAGTCGAGAAAAGAAACACGGAAAATGAGAAGATCGACATATGTTAATATGGCAAATCGGAAGAACGAGATAGCAAACACGGATAAACGAGATCAAAAATATGGAAGAACGAGATACCAAACACGGAATAACCGAGAACAAAAATATGGAAGAACGAGATAGCAAACACGGAAGATGAGAAGATCGACATATGTAAATATGGCAAAATGGAAGAACGAGATAGCAAACACGGAAGAACCGAGAACTAAATTATGGAAGAATGTGACGACATTTTTAGAAGGAACATCGAGAAAGTGAATACGGAAGAACGAGAAAGGAAAGACGGGGAAACGCGATTTTAGAAGGAGCAGCGAGATAGTGAATACGGGAAATGACACTTTTTTCGATGAGAACCAATCAAGGGACAAAGTACTTTACCGATGATGCGGTAGTCCGTGCCGGCCCAGAGGTTCACAAGGAAGTTGTCCGCGGCGGCTTTGCCATTCTCTGCAGCAGGATAATGCAACGCGCGGGTGCTCTTTGTCCGGAACGCTGTGCTGGGGAAGTAGTCGACCACGACCCCCTTGCGACCGCGATGAAGAACCATCTTGCCGTTCAAACTCTCCGGTTCCTTCATGGGGGCGATAGCTCTACCAGTCATATGACCTTATATTCAAAGCGAATACAGAGTGTATACCCCTGGGAACGAAGGATGTCGACGATTTGAGCATGGCCTTTCCACAGCGCCAAGTCGAGCGCGGAATATCCGTCCTACGTTCATTGACATGAGGGTACAGGGAAACAAGAAGGACGTACGTACATCGGTGATCGCCCATATATTCGCATTCAACTGAAGCAACATCACCACCATTTGAATGTTGCCAATGATCACTGCGCAATGCAGCATGGTGAACCCTCCTTGCTACATGCACCCGAGTGAGTGAACGAGGCGCGTTCTACGTACATGGTCAGTGTACCTCAGTGGTGCCTTGGATGTCCGCCTTCCCGATGAGGAGCGTCAGATACTTGCGCGCCTTCTCCACATTGTTCTCCAAGATGGCTTCCCGGAGGAACTGGTTCGTCTTCCCTTGGATCAAGTTCATCCGCTTCGCAACCCCGCGACAAAAAACTAAAATGGCCCACCGACACTATCCGGATATGTGGCTTGATTTATCCGTATGCAAATCAAATTATGACTTGTTACTATTTTAATAGTAACAAGTCAATATGCGAATTCCATTACTATTAAAATAGTAATGGAATTCGCATATTGTCGATTTGATACAAATTGGGGGAGGGGGTGCAATCGAATCGCGCCAACCAAACCGATCCACAATCGATCTGATTGGTTGAATTTCATTGATAATGTTTGATTGGCTAATAATTTTGAGCTCATCTGAAGTAGCCAATCAAATCGATTTTAATTCCAACGAGAAACCAAGGCACAACACGAAATTTCACTCGAAAGCACAATATCTTGCTCCTTTTTAATATCCAATCAGAGTCCATCACACCTTGTTTCTTACACACGATTGGCTATAACACTGGCAGAAGAGGTTACAATTTTGAACTGTTTTGTACTTCGAAGTAGAGCTTTGTGTGATGCTGCATTGTGCACTGATGAGTTCACTCCTACCATTTCCAATGTGGTTCTCCCCTTGCAGCTAACATTATGGTGTGCGCTCGGCCGGGTCGCAATACCGTGGCTGCTCTGCCAACGCTACCAAGACGTCTTGCGCCACCCACCCTAATAACCACGTGATCACACCAGCAGGGAGGTTTATCTATCCTCCCCGAGCTCACAGGTAATGCTAAAGTTATTCCCAAAGTATATTCTACTTCACAATAATATTAAATTTTTAAGGTGTGGTGAAATCAACTGTGTCAAAAGCCACAGCCCGGCGATGGATGGTACATGCCGGGTACAAGTTCAGCTCGTGGAAGATGTCGATGGCCATGAGCGACAAGATGTTGCGGAATACCGAAAGGTTTTCTGCTCGACATCGCTGAGTCTTAGCGAGCGGATGGCGTCATTTTCGGGGGAGGCCATGGACATATTGGAGTTTCCCAATGACGTCTCACAGGAGCAGGTTGTGTGGATGACTCACGACGAATCCATCTTCTACGCCAACGACGACGGGGGAATGGTTTGGACGAATACGGCCCACCTGGATCTCCCCAAAAAGGGACGTGGGCGCTCAATAATGGTGTCTGACTTTGTTTGCCCATGTCATGACCGCCTCTTTATGCTGGGAGACTCTGAACCATTGTTTATCACAGAGGATCTGCATGTTGGCAAGGCCCAGGAGGGCTACTGGACCAGTGAGCATGTGATCAAGCAGGTAACGCAAAGGGTTCTTCCTGCGTGTGCGGCTTTGCACCCCGGATGCGCCGCGTTGTTCACGTTTGACCAATCAACCAATCACGCATCTTACGCTGCCGATGCTCTCCGAACATCCAGCATGAATCTCAATCCGGGGGGCAAGCAGCCAAGGCTCCGTGATGGTTGGTATGGCTCTTCGCAGATTGATCAAGCAATTACATTCCCAGAAGACCATCCTGACCAGTCTTTGCGTGGGCTCACCAAAGGAGTCAAGAGTGTGTTGGTTGAACGCGGAGCATGGGATAATGTCATGCTACTGACGTGCGGAAATGTGGTGTCGATGCCACCCTTCCCTGAGCTGCTACGATACTGTGCTCGACACTGCCTTGCATCTCATGCTGACTTTCGATCACAGAATTCGATCCTGGAGGAGGCTGCTGGTCATGTGTGCTTGTTCTTCCCCAAGTACCACTGCGAACTCAACCCCATCGAGTCGTATTGGGGTGCGGCAAAGCGCCACGCACGATCCAACTGCGACTACTCGTGGAATGGGCTCGTTCAATGCGTTCCGCGAAGCCTTGAAAGTGTTTCCCTGGTCTCGATTCGGAAATTCTTCCATCGGTGTTCACACCTCATCCAAGCCTACAGCTACGGCCTTGAGTACAACATGTCCAAGTGTGCCCACAAGCAGTACAAGTGCCACCGACGCATCCCACAAGGTGTAACCGTAGCGATCGAGTTGAATTAGTTGTCGAAAGGTCGTAATGTAGTCTTAAGTTTTTGCATTTTGTATGCAATTCGGACTCGTCGAAATTCACGTTCCCTTGGCCTGAAACGTTCTATGGGCTTCAGAAACGACGATTTTATGTTTTTCAAACGGAGTTTCAAAACTAAAATGACTTTAGCCAATTACTGAGTGGACATCGATTTTGGAAGTTTCTACCGCGTAAAAATACTCGTGAAAATTTATACGACGAAATTGGCCAAGTTGTAGTCTTTAGCTGACTTGCACCATAGTGTACGCAGCGATTTTCGTGATTTCACGGCATCTGATTGGACAAATTGGACAATTTTGAATTCGCAAGGTGACCTGCCTTGCGAATTCCAAAAACAGACACATGAAATATAAAAATCAACAATACAAACTTAAAGATATATTTAATTGAAACTATACAACTTCAGAATTATTTATGGAATTCGCAAGGTGGTTCACTTTGCGCAGCATACAAAATTGCCTATTTCACCTTGCTTTTTCCGGTTAATGTGCTATTAATAGTATTAATACATACTACTGGTAGAACATACCGTACTGGTAGAACATACCGTTAGCATATTCATACATTTCCTGCAAATTCCTAAGAAAAATAGATAAAAAACTCTCGATTTGACACAAAATTCCTTCAATTTTGAGCTCACTATAGTTGCGAGCGGTACCCCGATCCGACAGCAACCGATCGGGTGTGCCATATCTGCACAAGACCTCGTCCACGAATACGCGCACAAACGTCGCCGACATCAGATCAGGCACAGCGAACGCCTCGGGCTATCGCGTGAAGTTCAAGACGAACTTACTCGCATCCACAACCACCATGCTGGCAACAGTTATGCATGTACCACCGGTAATACACTTCGGAATGAGTGTCAGCGGCCGGAGGGGTGTATTGTACGAATCTGTGCGCGGAAAACTGGTAATGTGCCGTCATGAGAATTGACCAATTAACGTATGGTGTGGAGCATGTGATACACACGTGTGCTGTATGTTTTAGCCAATCAGATTATGACAACAAACTAGTGGCTACCTGTGTGCATTGGCTGCGACGTGAAGGGGATTGTAATGAATTGTTCATAACTCAATCTATCACCTTCGAACTGAGCCTCTATGCGTGTTTGTATGTGTCCATTGATTTTGCTTAGCGTGATACGTACAGCTTGGATATATCTGATATTTCAAGTATGGTAATCTCGTCTGCTTCATCAAAGTCCACCTCTGACTTGGAGCTTCTGGTGTTCGACGGAAAGAAGGTCTCGTTTCGTGTGAGGTCCCAAAGCTTTGTTAGCTACCTGGAGGGAATGATCCTTGAGATGGTTGGTAACTACTTAGAGGAACCAAAATCATTGCCCGAGCCTTAATATCAAATACGAGGACTGGTTGCATTCCGAGCCACCGATTATCTCGACTGGCAAGGAAGGGCATGACCGATGTCTTTTGTACAATAGGAAGAGAACAGAGAAATAGGTTCGCTTCTACCTGAATAGTCTTCTACCTAAGTCGTTTGTCCAGCAGCTACGTGACACGACTGATGGAAAAACTCCTGTGTATTAGGTGTGGTATGAAGTCGAAAGTCGTTACGGGACTTCGAACGTTTCATCTGTGACTGGTTACATGGGTCAATTAATTAAAACGGCTCAAAAACCTTTCGACAAAATCTAGTCATGGTTTGGTGAGATGAAGTCCTTCATGAACCTCATCAATGCCGAATCTTGTCAACACCTTGGCCGCAACAGTTGACTGATTACTTGATCATTTACATGTATTGAATAAACTACCCTCTCAGTTTTATGGTGCACAAATCATGGTCGTCGTTGGAGCAGCCCCCAAAATGCAGTACTGTATAAAAAGCTTCCCAACAATACAATAATATAATATAATTACAGCATTACTAGTACAACATTACTGTAAGTCGAATACATACACATGTAACTTTCGATAGAACCTAGCTGGGGTAGAGGCTAAACTTGTTGAAGTTTTTGGTCAAAAGAAGAAACATGCAATTCTGACCATGGGAGGTCAAACTCCACGACAGGATATTCCGATTAGCAATGCTAACTATTCCTCCAATCTGGGAAACGAACATCATCCGGAAATCTAGCCAATCAAGGCAAGCGCCATGACAACGAAAGAGGCATTTTCCAAGGCAACTCCAAAGAGCCGCAAGAGATTCTACTGTGAAGGCAAATACAACGTAGGAGGCGTACACCATATGAAGTGGGATTGCCCCAAGCGCCAGGACGATTTTCGGCGTGGCTGAGCGCTATGTTCGCACCAAAGTGGCCTGCGGCGCCTTCGTGACGCGCGAAGAAGTGGCATTGCCTGCATCGCCGCCAAGCTGTCGGACATGTCCATGGACAACATGTTTTCGTGTCCTGATGTCAGCGACATGCTGTCCTACTCACCCGCGTTGGTGGTGGACACGACGTCAACTCCTCGTATCGAGACGATGGCGGCATCCATGCGTCCGAAAGATGGACCAGGTATTAAAATTCCAGTGTCCGCATTTACTAACTCGTCGTGATATGAGTAGTAGTGAATGGGCACTCGATGGTGGTTGCGGTCACCACATGACCGGTGACTTTAGTTTTCTAACCAACCTAACAATACATTCTAGATTCACATTTGCATTTGCTGGTGGTCATAAACTCGTTAATGTTATTACACACATGGGAGTTGCGATATTGTGGCTTGAGTCTCCAAATGGTGTAGTCCAGTATCTATTTCGAAGTGTTGCCTACGTGCCATGCGTAACGACAAATATCTGAGTGAAAATGCCCTGAAGCGTTGAGGCTACTATATTGTTGATAGTGCCTGTGCAACGTACAAGTATGCATTTTCAAACTGCAAGCATCAGTTCATCGGCACATCGATAAATGGTGCTTACTATGGCAAACGTTGGACTGATACCGAGCACCAATATCGGTGCGCTCAAGTAATGCGGTCCCCGTACCAGTCATAGTTATCCATAAAAAACAAAGAGTGAATCAGAGAATGGCATATTCATTTAGGACATGTCAATACTGTGGCGTAGGTTTCTATATTGACTAAGGGTACTGTCAACGGTGCTCCTCGTATTCACCCCGACTGTTTGCGTGGATTACGTAATTTCTGCGGGACATGTGTCCGTGCAAAGCATCGTCAAATGTCGTACAAAGGGTTGATCGGCAGTAGGCCTTACATTGGATGGCAAACGAAAGTATCCTAACAATTTGGAGCGATATACAGATCAGCGACAATCTGATCAACGTTCTCGTTCTGCTGATTCCAGTGTTAGTGGGAGTCATTCGTTCGTCGAGGACACCACAGTTCAACCGCTCCCTCGTCCTGTACGCAGTAAGCGTAAGCCATCGCATTACCTTGATTATAATTGTAAGCGTCGTCTCGAGGTCGTCGTGACGAGGTCATACTTCCTGACGTTCACACGAGAGTTGAGCATCTCGATTCCAGTCAAGCCCGAAACCTTCTTGAAGTTGGGCTACAACAACTGGAAAATAATGTACTAGTTCATGATGTCAATGTTGGACATATCACCAATCAACGAATTGATTCAAATAGTATCCCAATTCCACAATCATTAAAAGAAGCATTATCTGGAAATTATAGTTCTCAATGGCGTGCCGTAATTGATGATGAATACAATTCACTTATTGACAATGGTACATGGAAATTATGCGAACTTCCACCTGGGCGGCAGGCACTGCCGTGCCATTGGGTGTTTACCATAAAATACCACTCAAATGGTAGACTTGACAATCTTGTAGCACAAGGCTGTCACCAAGAATACGGAGTAGACTGCGATGACGTATATGCCCCACCTGCTCGCTTTGAATCATTAAGGCTTGTTCTAGCCATCGGTGCTATCTTTGATCATATCATAAAGCAAATGGACGTACACACCGCGTTTTTGAATGGTGCTAATCCACCGGGTACTGAGTTGTACACGCGACAAGCGCCCGGATATATCAAATGTCACGACAAACATAGGTCTGCAAGAGTATCTACGGACTCAAACAGGCGCCACGTATTTGGTACCAACGGTAGTGCGTTGGTAGTGTCGAAGTCGAAGTTCCTCAACAACTCGTCATCCATCACGCGGAAGTAGTATCGTACAGCATGGTGAATAGTGGACTTTATTTCGTCAAGTCGAAAGACCAAGTTTGGAAGTTGTGTGTGCCGAACTACTTGAAAGGCGAGATCATTTCGCAGAGTCATGACACCAGCATAACGGCGCATCCAGGTGTGCGTCGAACGCAACTTCACATTGCACAATGGTACTACTGGGTGGGACTTGAGGACGACGTCAAGCTCTACGTCGCTACTTGCGAAACCTGTGCACGCTACAAGACAAGCAGTGCCAAAGCCAACGGCAAGATGATTCCCATCAAGTCGCCAGATGAGTGTTGGCACACGGTTTCCATCGACTGGATCACGGGCTTGCCTGTATCCAATGGCAAGGATGCGATCATGACGTGCGTGGACAAGACGTCCAAACGACCCAAGTACTGTGCTACACTGTACACTGTACGACGTCGACTGTCGATGCTCCTCAAGTGGCCAAGGAGTTCTTCGACACAATAGTGCGGCACCATGGCCTACCGGCGGTCATTATCAGTGATCGTGACTCCAAGTTCACCAGCTAGTTTTGGCAGGAGCTCAGGAAGATCATGGGAGTCAAGCACTTCATGATGACTGCAGGAAGGGCTCAGAGTGATGGAGCCACAGAGCGCCAAAATCGGACACTCGAAGATGCCTTGCGCTGCCAAGTTACCTCGGACATGACTGGTCAGAGCACCTCGGCATCATTGAGTATGCTCACCAAGGATTGATTCAAGCGTCAACGGGACTCATTCCATTCGAAGTGGACACAGGCAGAAAGTTGCGTAACCCCATTCTTAATCAAGTTGAAACTTTGAATGAGTACGCGAAGAACTTTTCCGAGCAACGTAAAGCATTAGTCAAGATGGCACTTGAAAACCTTGACAAAGCACAGGCTCGTCAAAAGAGCTACTACGACAAAAAGCGCTCCAAATTGGAGTTTCGCGAAGGCGAGTTTGTAATGCTAGCGACACGCAACGTCCCCATCAAGCATGCATGAGAAACCAAAGTTACTACCGAAGTTCATTGGTCCCTTTAAGATCATACAAGTAATCAACCCGATTGCTATGAAGTTGGAGTTGCCAAAGAGCATGAAGCGTCTTCACAACGTCTTCAAAGTCGATCGACTGAAGAAGTGCCCTGGCCAAGCGGATTGATTTACCAACCGGCCCATACCCAAAGCGACTCCAATGCTTTTGGACGACAGTGGCCACGAAGCCTTCATCGTCGAAGTGCTGCTGAAGCAACGACAGTTCAACCGCATGAAAGAGTATCTCGTCAAGTGGCATGGCTTGCCCGATTACGAAGCGACCTGGGAACTTGAGCGGGACGTCAAACATGTTTCCCATTTCAAGCGACTGGTTCAAGATCTGCGAGCGAAGATACAAGCGACGAAGTCGATAACCGGGGGAATGTAGCGACGTCACTCCAGTGGCGTCATAGGGCCATCGACCAATGAGAACAGACGTCACTGTTGACGTCAGTTTACGACCAAGCTCGATTGGCGTGCGGCGTGCTCGGCCATGGACACCAGAAGCTTCTTCTGCAGAGTGCACGTATGTATAGCATTAGATATAGAATAGTTAGAGAAGTCATGCATGTAGATAACGTCAATCAATCAGTTTATAATTCCCTCTGCATTATCAACTCTCTACATCCCCATTGAACCCCAGGATCGGGACAAGGCAGCCTTTACCTCCCACTACGGGTTGTACAGGTTCGTGCGCATGCCGTTCGGCCTGACGAACGCGCCGAGCACCTTTCGACGCATGATGGACGGTGTTCTTCGGGGGCTAACGTGGCAGGTGTGCCTCGTCTACCTCGATGACATCATCGTCTATTCAGGCGGGACGTTCGAACACCATTTGTTACATTTGACCCTCATCTCGCACCGTCTCAAGCGCGCTGGCTTGTCACTGAAGCTCAAGAAGTGTCAGTTCGCTACCACCGAGATCGAATACCTGGGGCACAAGCTGATCTCGAAGGGGGTACAACCGTTATCCCGCCTATTGGATGGTATCCAGCGTTTTTCGACCCCCCAGTCCCCGAGAGATGTCAAATCCTTCACGCACATGGCCGGTTACTACCGGAAGTTTGTTCCGGACTTTGCGCGACGAGCAGCACCCATGACGAAGTTAACGCGTAAAGGGGAAGTCTTTGTCTAGGGTGGCGAACAAAATGCATCCTTTTTGAGGATATCAAAGCAGCTTGACCCGTACCCCTGTGTTACGGTACCCGGATTTCACCAAGCCCTTCTTTATCGCAAGAGACGCAAGATGGTGTTGCCGCCTGAACTGTGGGCGGCAGCGCTAAATGAAGGCCATGGATCTGTGTGGGGTGGTCATGCCGGCACCCAGCACACGTTGGCCAGAGTGCAACGGAAGTTTTGGTGTGTGGCCAGAGATGGGAAAAGTGGTGACCACCCACTGGTGCCGTAGCTGCCGGGACTGTGGAACAAGGAAAATGAGGACGGCAGACATCATCCCACCTTTGCGTCCCGTGGCTAGCGGTGAAGTATGCGACCGATGGGCAATGGACCTGCAGGAACCCTATCCGAAGGCGACCGGAGGAGGAGTCTACGTGGCTGTCTTTACCGAATATGTCACACGGTATGCTGTCACGGTAGTTCTGCCGGGCAAGAGTGCGGAATCTGTCGCGCAAGCCATGTGGACCCATCCATATCGTATGTGTATTTGGGCCTTTCCGCGAGTTGATGTCGGACCGGGCCAGAGAGTTCATGGGGGCCATTATGGTGCAGTTTACCCAGTTATGCCAAACTAAACATCTGCACCCAGTGGCGTATCGTCCGACCCTCGTGGGATTGGTGGAATGATTCAACAAGACAGTCAAAGACATGCTTAGCTTATTTGCGAACGAGTCAACGACGGTTTGGGACATGTGGCTACCAATCCAGACCTACGTCTACAACAGCGGGGTGAACGCCACCACCGGGTTCGCACCGTATCATGTCATGATGGGACGCGAAGGAAGAATGCCAAGCGATCTCAATTTCCCGGGGAATGAGGCAGGTGAAGATACGGCCCCATGGGTCAGGTGGTGTCTAGATGCTACCAAGCAAATTCGAACCCAAGTCAAGGCGGCGTTAGAGGAATCCCAACGAGCCATGACAATCCAGTACGACAAGAAAGTCAAGCACAAGTTCTCTTTGCGCAAGGGCTTGTACGTATGGATTTGGTATCCTGCGAAAGGGAAAGGCCTCTCGAAGCTGAGGCACCGGTGGCGGGGACCGGCACATTAGTAGTCGAAGCGGGCTATGACATCTGGAAAGTCCTGTGCTCTTGGAATGGCCAACCCCGGGTTGTCCAGTCATCAGCCTGCGTCCCATATTTTTCAGACGATCAAGTACTCGACAGCATGGTTCAGGATATCGCGGTGGATGCTACGGTCGACGAAGGTCCTTGGGAAGAGATCGAAGAAGTCGTGAAGCTGCTGCCGGTGGTGGGAAGGAGCCAGGAGCCAGTCGCGACAGCAGGGTTGAGACGAAGTGCGAGGCAGCAAGCAGCGATGGACGGCCAGCAGAGGGCCAGCAGACTGGCGTACAAAGGCGACGAAATGGGAATCCGATATCGCAAGGTTGGTGAGGGGCCGAAATGGACGAATGGTTCCTATGGTGGAAGTGGAAGGTCGGCAAGGCTGGGAATTTATCTCACTCAAGAAATGGGAGTGGGAACAGATGCAACCAAGCGGTCTCTACGTGGTGCCCACAAGAGCTCCGTTGCCTGTCCGAGTGGAAAGAAATATAAGGAAGTGGATGTAATTGCAAAATAGTACTTGGATTTTGTATGTGATGACTTCGTGTAGTACCAGTGTACAACTATAGTACCACCCATCCATATTAGTAACACTATCGAACGGAAGGTGATCTGTAAATTTAATATGGGATAACGTAAGCGACCAATTGTTTGTGCACTTTTCGAGACCTCAGGGTAGATTACATGTAGCTCGGCCCACAGACATCAGATTTAGAATCTAAAATGTGCCCCCTGAAGCTGAGACAACGAGCAATCCGACACAGCAAGTTTAGTGCCCAAATTCGTGCTTTGTGACCTCCGAAAGGTACATATTGTAAGCAAATTTGCATTCAATGATC